ACGCTCTCTATCATGCTTTCTTTCTCTCTCTATCTCTCTCTCTCTCTCTATCTCTGATTCTCTTTCTCTCTCTACATCTCTCTCACCGATTTTCTCTTTTTCTCTGATTCTCCCTTTTTCTTTCTATCTTTCTCTCTTTCTCTTACTCATTCTCTTTCTCTCTCTCTCTCTCTCATTCCCCCTTTTTCTCTCTCATTCTCTCTCTTTTATAGATACGTGCACACATTTCCGTTGCCTTTCTCTCTCTCACTGATTTTCTCTTTCTTTCTTTCTTTCTTTCTTTCTTTCACTCATTCTCTTTCTCTCTCTCATTCTCTCTCACATTCTCTCTCTTTTAGACACACGTGCACACATTTCCATTGATTTTCTCTCTTATCAATTTTTGTCTTTCTCTCTGATTCTCTCTCTTTCTTTCTTTCTTTCTTTCTTTCTTTCTTTCTTTCTTTCTTTCTTTCTCTCTCTCTCCCTCTCTTTCTCTCACTCATTCTCTTTCTCCCCCTTCATTCACTCTCACATTATCTCTCTTTTACACACATTTCCGTTGCCTTTCGATCTAACCTGAACGTTCGCATCATGTCAAGGCGATTCAGTTATTGGCGTTCTTGGAGAACGGCACCCACAGTTGTCTGTCAACAGCGACACTCATTAGAAACACAACGTCAGAATTCTGGTGCCAGCCCGGTCATATGATGTGATCGATCCCCACCTTCCCCCACTGAAACGTCAGTCGGGCTCTGGGTGCCTACAATTGCAGGATCACTGGAGACTGAAGAGGCCAAGCATTGTTATTGAAGACATATATGAAGTTAATGGGGGCGGCCGGGTTTCGAAAGAACGTTGCTGAGAGAATTAAGTGAAATCGAAGACAGGCGAGAGATTTTATTACCATTATTATTATTATTATTATTATTATTATTATTATTATTTAATAATAATAATAATAATAATAATAATAATAATGAGAAGAAGAAAATGTTCAATTAAGAATAAGAAAATACGGATGACATAATAAGTAGTAGTAGTAGTAGACTAAGAATAACGAATTGAGAAACAGAAGCTTTAATAATAATAATAATAATAATAATAAGAAGAAGAAGAAGAAGAAGAAGAAGAAGAAGAAGAAGAAATAAGAGGAGTAGGGAGAAGAGGAGAAACTAATTTTCAAACATAATAATAATAATAATAATAATAATAGTGAGGAGAGTTCTAAAAAAGTGATCTGCTGTCACTTGATCTCCGGTGAAAGTCACTATTTACTAATAATGTGAAAAGGTAATGATTGCAAATAATAATAATAATAATAAGAAGAAGAAGAAGAAGAAGAAGACGATGATGATAATAATATGATGGCGAGAAGATAAGGAGAGGCTAGAATTTTGCTGCTGTTAATAATAATAATAATAATAATAATAATGAGAGGACGAATTAATAATAGACCTGGATAAAAGGATGATGCTGGCAAATGGAAGGGGACTACTAATACCACTATTATTACTAACAATACTACATGAATACGACTACTACTATTAATACTACCACTGCTAACTATCAATAGTACTGCAACTACTACTACTACCAGTAATATTAATACTACTATTAATAATAAGGGGATTTCTATTATTACTACTACTAATTACTACTACCACTATTACTGTTACTACTACTACTACTACTACACTACAAAAACTATTATGAATATTGTAACTAGAAATAATAATAATAAAGCAACAAAAATGATAAGAAAGAAAATATGAAGTGGTCGAAATTAAACGTGAAAAAAATATTGCAAGTAACTAGAGTAGAGACGAGAGAGTCCCGTCAATCGACCCCGCACCAGAATCCCACCCACCAAACCCACCAACGTCAACTGTAAACATCTGAAAAAAAAAAAAAAAAAGAAGAAAGTTTTTTGTAAAAATTAAAAAAAAAAAACTAACCAAGTATTGTGTTCTGACGAGTTGACGAACATCTTGGACGAAAGAGACGAGAAACAAAGACATTGACATTACAACTTGAGCAGTGCTCGGAAGACTTTTCTATCGCAAATACAAATAAAGTTATGAATCTTTTAAAGTGCACACGAACTTTATGGACACCCTATATATATATATATACCCGACTCTCCTGTCGATTCAACGTATGAGGGTCAAGCAGCTCAGTTCCTAGGAACCAACAGCCCGACACCAGCACATGAGATTTGATTATAGTAGGGAAGGTTTTGTTTAGAACCATCCACACTTTTTTAAAGGGCCGAATACAGAGACCTGGTGCACTACGTACCACGGGGTCCCCAAACAACCCTCCGCAGGTTTTGAATTCAGAGTTGTCCTACCCTAGACCAGTTGCTATCCAAGGCTATAGAACCAAGTCTGCCCTGCTAATTACCCATAGCTGGAAGAAGAAGAGGATTCATACCTTCCCAAAGGTATATATATATATATATATATATATATATATATATATATATATATAGTGTATATTTAGGCAGCAGTTTTCATTG